TTTGCTAATTCAAAACCTTCAGCAACAATATGAGGATGAAGACTTCAGTATTCAAAATCATAGAAATAAATTTCAAAGTTTTTTTTCCTATTGACAAATGTCGAACCATATTGCTCGACAATAGAATGGTGCCGAAATCATCAAAGATAGAATTTTTTTTCTTCTTCCAAATAGTACGATTTATATTTGTCAAATATTCGTCAATGAAATGATTCAGATGCTGTTTGAAAAACATGTTTCAATTGTGCAGGTAGTAATTGAAGAAGTAAAGGAAATAAATGCGGTCGAGTTTTTTGACAACATTTGATGAAACCTTCCCATATTCGAGCTTGTTTCTAAGCCTAGAAGAATACATCGAAATCTATCAACAAATTGATTCACTAAATCAACTTACTTGTTTTGTGATAAGTCTTTATAAAATATTCATAACAAAACCAATCATATTTGAAACGAAACTAAGTGCTTGTAAAACCGTTCGCATGAACAAAACGGGTATTGGATTAATATCAACAAGTTGTTGAATAGCAACAGCAAGAATATCATGAGTATAAATTGCACGTTCATTTAGACATAATGTTGTTGCTATTGAATAAAATATATTTAATATTTCGAAAAGTAGTTCGAAAAGTTTTACCATTCATTATTGTTTTTAATTCACATTCTTCAGGTGAGATTTGATGAAGAGCAATTAATAATTTAGATGGTAAGATTAGACTAGCATGTGAAGTTTCAGAAGATGCTAAAAATAAATTTTATTTCATTGAGTATGCGAAAAAACACATAAATTGGTAAGATTAGATCCTCGAATATTTGTACCTTAAACCGTCATTGCAGTTTGCCTGATAGACCTGACGACTATCGGATTAAATATGGTTTTTGACTTTCTATGTTTGCCTCTCGACTATTTTTTAGTGAAATATGATATAAATCGCATCAGTCAACAGTAAAATTCGAAAGAGATGACAGAAAATCCTGACATTCGTCCACTGCACTATAATTGGAATCATGGTATTACAATGCCGATATTGATTCCATAGTCGCTGGATGTTAATCATCAAAAACTCTGATTCCATTCCATGGAACGACTAGTACTGATCTTATCGGCTATATGAATCTTTATTTGGACTTTCCATTATTAAAACTTACCATTACGAATCAAAAGTCGGTTAAAAACTTCTTTAACCACTGGTTGTGAAAGTTTAATCAATTTCGGCAATCCATTAATAATTTCCCTCTAAAAAAATTCACCTAACATTTTCTAATAAAATTCCACTAACAAACCTTTTCCAAACCAGTAAGTACTGGTATAAGAAAACGAACATCAGACACTCGTTTATGATACAAATCTTGTACTTTCTCAACCAGTTCAGGTGATGGTGGTGCTAAGAAATAAAAAAAAAGATTTTTAAATCAAAGCGGAAGAAATAATCATCGTACTTTGTTCAGTAAGAGTATGAATAATACGCGTAATTAATGTTTCAGCACCTTTCGGACAATTTTCAACAAGTTTTAATATTTCTGGACTACCCATACCCATTTCACGAACCTCAATAATCAACTATTAAAATGAAAAAATTCAAATAAAACTTACTGGAATTTCTAAAACACGAAGAACTACCTGTTTAATATCCCCATTAACTGCTGTATAAATCGTTGCTAATCTACAATAAAATTCAAATAAAATTCATCCTCAAGATAGCTTCAATCATACGATAGTATTAGATAATGATACGATGGTATTAAACTAAGATATAATGGAAGACAAAGACGAATTGAATGTTCTGTCCAAGTATCATTTACTACTAAAACGGTAAATCCTTCATTTCCAACATTTCTTGCAAAACAAATCTCTCACTTGTTGATGATTTTTTATCTTCACCAAAATGTGCTTCAGGTGGTTGTGCTGCTGTTAAATGTTTCAAAAATTTCAAAGCATGTCGCTAAAAATCGAAAGTTATTTTCAATTGAATTGGAAATCTTTTTACTTCAATTGGTTGTTTAAATTCTTCTTTTTCATGTAAATTTTTTGCAATACGTATTGCATTATTTCTTACACAAACATTTTCATTATGAGTAAAATCAAGTAAAATATCCAAAAATTTTTTTCATGCATATTGATTCGACGAAATATTAAATCACGTAATGTATTCATACCGAGATAAGAACAAGTTTCATCTTGACAATATCGTTTAAGTATAAGTAAAGCATTATCTGTAAGTAATGCTGCAGGCGTTAATAAAACGAGAAAATAAACTAACAACAACAAAAAAATAAGTACATGAGTGAATTATTTATCAATTTACCCATCACGTTGATCTGGTTTTTCTTGTAAATATTCAAGTAATTGGCATAATGTATCATCATATTTAGTAAAATCTTTTCTTTTATTCGGATCTAACATACTTAAATATTCATTAGCATAAACATATTCTTGATAAAGCCATGCAAAAGCAAGATCATGACGTTTACGTACATCAGCAAATATATAATCTTCATAAACTAAAAAATAAAATGCAAAACTTATCATACACTATTTATTAGAGGAAGATTCTTTTAGAGTTTTTCTAATACTTTATTTCGAGAATAAACCGCGCACACACATACACACATATATTGCACACATCACAAGGATAGGTGGAGAGAGAAAAGGAGAAGATCGAACTAACCAACCAACCAACCATGATGACTAGAGAAAACACGTATATATACAGGTGGTCTCAAAATTATAGAACCCCTCCTCAAATTTTGAAAACAATAAAGGTTTCTCCAACTAAAGAAGGTTTCATTACCAATCTAATGTCATAGCCATGGACGCATAGTAGCAGCCTATCATGTACTATATTGATTTGGATTTGATCAATTAGTATTAATGATTAAATTCAAAAACTTTCGAATTTCAGGTGTCTCATAATTATAGGACCCCCTTCCACAAAATATAAAAATATTGAGTTAATGCTAATTTTGTTAAGTCAGATGATTCTTTCTCAGCATCCATTCGAGAGAGGAGACACTCAGCTATATGCTGAAAAAAATAGATTTGCGAAAATTAGTTTAACTTTTCTACCGTTGAAGAAATTAAGTAGTAGAAACGTTAAATCACAAAAATATCACTATGTAGTTCGAGAAAAATAAGTTTTCACTTCTTCAATGAAGTGAAATTAAATTTAAACTATATTATTGGATAGAGCATCAAAAGTTACGTAGACTACATATGTTTTGACAAAGACTTTGATGCTCTTAAAAATTGTGAGAAGGTATATTAAAGATATTCAAAATATCTTCTTATATCAAAAACCCCTATCTTCGTAAAACAAGCTTCTGATTCCAGATAAAAAAATGCACATAAAGTTTTTCCGAGGATATCATTAGAAAGAGCGTCAAATTCTGCACAAGATAGGCTATTTTTCTCTTGTCGAAAGTTTATTGCAAAAAATTTGGATCATGGTCTCACAAAGTTAGCAAAGCGGCAGAATGTGAAAACATAGATGAGAAAAGAAATTTC